CAACAGTTCAAAGAACTGATTTTATTAGGGTGCCCGGCCTGGCACAGTAAAGCATTCCCAGTGTGAATGCAGAAAATACACCCTTTCAACCCACTGTAGCCTGGAGCTGCGATGCGACTTGGGTATTTTTAAACGGTAGTCTCAGCAGCGTTACGGTGAGTTTTAGCTCTTTGACCCAGTACCTCAGCCGACAGGCCATAGCTGTTAGCTGCTTTTAAAACAACTTGTAGCCACGTGTTGTTTCCTGTGCGGAAATCTGAAGTCCATCACTAAGTGTGTTTTAACCAGCTGTAAATAAAGAAATCTCTTACCAAAGCTCCCTCAAGACATGTAGCATAATGGTAGCCACGTCCCATGATGAGAACAGACTTCTGATGATACAGCTCTGTGGCTAGCTTCTGGATCTCATCATCCATGCTCAACACTTCTTTAATTAAATCTAGAAAGAAAGGGAAGAATTCAAGTTGTGTGTGGTTATATACCTGTGCCTCTCAAACCGTATATACTGTTTATACTTCATAAACACAGATAGCAGTGGCTTGCATAAAAACTGGACTCAGTGTTTTAATAGTCCAGTTTAGCGGTGTAAAGACATTAGAGAGAATGCGGTGGCGAAAGTTACTGCCGATAGCCGCGTTGCACATGTCTGATCCCCTCAGTCTTGCAAAGTAAAATTCAGGCATTGCTGAAGTTCATCTGTGCTACCGAGTTTCACTTGGTGGGACGCAATAACCGCAACAGTTTCCTACCTGGCAGCCCCTTTAGACCACGCATGATTTCCTTGCGCCTTTCCTGCATAGAAATTCTGTCATCGCACATCATCAGAGCAAACATCACCAAAGAGACAAACTGGCTGGTATAGGCCTAGTAAGGAGGGGAGAGAGAGAGAAAACACATCATTGTGACAGTAACCATATGGTTGTCACTCACTACGTAGAATCCTTAGATTAGCTGTTGACTTATTCTTAACCTGGTACCAAACGGCATTTCATTCCAATTAAGTAGCGAAGATGAACATGGCAAATCTCATTTGAGCAAATCTCAAATGGCGGCATGGAATGGCACAATCTCCTTGTACTCCAAGAGATTAAGATACAACAAGCAAAATGGAGTATTTCTAAGATTCCCTGGTGACTATTAAATCCTATTTTGTGACCATACTTGTGTCCTCCTTTACTGCAAGTAAATGCTGAAAACACTGAAGATGGGCAGATCCATTAAGCGGAGGTGAACAGTGGAAGTCCACCACCACCATCTGACCATCGCAACGGGACAGCTGGCTGAAGTCTTTTTGGACCGCGCTCCGAGGAACACAAAGGCAGCTGAAAAGGTGAGTGATTTCCCACCCACCCTTCTTTAAGAACAGATTCTGAACTCTTCACCTTGGTGAGGCTCCATATTTGTCTAAGACCATAGTGACTGGTCTCACTGACTTCGGGGAAAACGTCAGCTGCACAGGCAAGTGAAATTAGTGCTCAAGTCAAGGCAATTCCAGTCACAAAAATGTTTGAGGCAAAGTATCAAACAGCTATTGCAACGTCTAGCCTCTGAAGTCCTTGTAAGACAAATGTTATGAAATGGTCTGTGGTGCCAGCCTGGGACTGAAGTTGCTCAGAAATAAGATTAAGGTTCGTAGTATTTCTGTCCCTTCCTAAACAATGATCAAACAAACTTTCATGTTGCTCTATTGGAGAGGACTTAAATAGCTCTGAAGGAATCTAGAAAAGCCTCAGTTATGCTGACTAGCGGAGTTTGATACGGAATGGGATCTACTTCGTTTTGGTGCAGCTGAAGGTTACCGAAGTAAATGTCACCAAACAGTCATGCTAACAATGCTTGGGTTGTTTATAATATGTTCTCAAAATGAAGTTCTGGACATCTTAGGGCAGAATCTTTTCAAGTTCATGTTTCATATATGCACAACTGTGGTAATTCCCCACATCACCAGAGGGAAAATGCCATTTTCACTTATCTCCAAACTGTAACGTTGGCGATGTGAAAACAACCCAGCGACAAACAACTTGTTCAAGAGTTTCTTGTAAGAGACTCATGAATTTTCCATGATCAAATTCCCCAATGAACTATTAAACTCAAATGTGGTTTTTGGCTGAATTTATGTAACAGATTGACATCATCTCGCCTCTAAATATAACTAAATCAAAGCAGATTTCACCATGCAGAAGCACTTCATCAAAATGAAATGCAGCAAGGCAAGTTATTTCATACTGTATCACACGTAGCCAGATATATCAGCCACAGAATAATTCTGTTAGGCGGGCACAAATACTGGTTTTCTGTAAAAGAGCATTCTCCATTTGCTGAAAGTATAGTTTTAATACCACACATTGTTTAGTAAAGCAGTGCCATTAAGGGCAGTTACGTGTGGTCAAAGTTTCCATAAACTTGTCTTTTAATTTCCTTTTTCGTCTTTAGAACTTAGTTTAAACCGAGCCTGTACCTCAAGACAAGTGATGGCAAAGAGGAGAGAATTCTTGCCTCTTAGGGAAATCTTCCCTCCGAGACCCCTTTGTTTTCAATGCTTAGAATATTTCATTTACCAAAAAAAAGAAAAATAAAAGCCCTTTGCAAGGTACAAGAAAGAGAAAGTGAAGAGCGTTGCTGGGCACACGGTCATTAACTACATAATCATCAACAGCAACTGGTAAAAAGGGAACAGAAAGCATTTAACAGAGGACCCACGCTCTAGCCAACACCTTCAGGAGGAGTTTCAGTAACAACAACAACGATAATAATAACCAGTGAGGTCTATAAACCTGTGATTTACCTTGGTACTGGCAACCCCGATCTCTGGTCCTGCATTGATATGGACTCCACAATCTGTCTCTCGTGATATAGAGCTGCCAACTGTGTTAGTTATCCCTACGGTTAAGGCTCCTCTCTCTTTGCAGTACCGAAGACCCATCAAAGTATCTGCCGTCTCACCTGAAAAGACAGGTATTGACAATGCTGCAGCTCAGTACTGGTTACTGCTGTCACTGCAGATGTCAAATCTGTGAATCTCAGAGGTTTGTATTTGCCTGCAAGTCAAAGGAGTCTGTAGTTATTTCAGCCCTGGCACAGTGTGGTTTAACCCTACAAAGACGACGGTGAAATCTAGAGAACACAAAACCTAACAATAGTTATTTGGTGTAAGGGAAAGTCAGTATTCTGCTATGGTTACCAAAAAGAAATAAAAAAAAGAGGGGGAGAGGGCAGTTCAAGTGTATGTTCTTTAACAAAACCCAACTTTCTTCCTTTTCCAATTTTCTTCCTTTTTCTGGTAAATAAAAATTCACCTGGGGAAGGGCAGGGTGGGGGGAAAACATCTATTAGGGACCTCTGGACATAACCCAGCTGAAGCGTACCGCGGACGCAATGGCATTCAGTTACAGCTAGCCTTTTGAGTCCTCCCACCACCTTATCGCCACTGAAACTCACGGACTTGTTTGGCTGATGGTGCTAACCCACAACACGAGAGCTTGCAAAATCTGTTATCAAAGAGGTTACGTCTAAAGCTAATCATCCCTGCTCAAAATTGTTTGCACTACGCAAACACGAGCTGGCTTAGATAGGAATTCTCTTAATGTGTTGATTCAAAAACTCTCGATAGAAAACAGCAGAACAAGCTGGGTTAAATGAACACGATAGGAGGGGAAAGGAAGCCTTGCACCGAGGATCCCAGCCTTGCGAGCTGAGCTCCAGAGATGGGACTAGGAATAGAAGGTACCGTGTATTCCATCTAGTGTTACCAGTTTGCTTTTGTCCTAAAAGGACACACCTCTGAGCACTCCTGCACGTGTAAGGTCACAACAGAGAACAAGAAACCCAAGGTCAGTTCCGTACACTTCTTCAGTACACCGCTGCATAAAAACTGCTCTGCATACTGCAACACTAAAAGCAAGCCGTGTAGGGTGGGAATCTAAGGCTAGAAAAACAGATTTATGGGTGGGGGGAACTGGGGTTATTTGAGCTAGTATTTACTTTGGTTTTGTATTGCCTGATGACCAGGCTCGGGTTCCAGGAAAATCTTTGTTAGCTCGCCACATCCAACACTTCAGGGGTAAGACGCAACCCCTAGCGTGCTCTCAGTCGTGTTCCCTGTTAGTTTGGGACAAGTACAGTTTCTAAGGGGAAGAAGCAGCATCTGCACATGTATTCCAAAAACCGAGGGAAAACTTGAACATAAGCCCCCTACAAAGAGAGGATATTCTGAATTACTCGATACTGAGAAGAAAAAAATTGCTACCAAAAGAGTATTTTAACCCGGAGAAAAAATAACTAGCTTTAGTATCAAAGCTGAAGGTCAGTTATGAAAATCTACAATGGTAAATGCAACTAAGAGGAAAAGAAATATTGTAGTTTTGTATTGCAGTTGTCTTTGAAAATATTTTGAATGCAATATAGATCACTGCTTTGTGGGGGGTTTTTATGCTTAAGCGTGTCTTTTATCTCATATTCCATTCCGAGGTTGTTGTGGTTTTGGTACTTGTGTGTAACAGTTTAATTTCTTTTATGGGTCTGATTCACCATACAGCTCAGTATTTGGTAGTGCTTTACCTAGAGAACTAAAACTATCCCAAAGAAACTACTGAGTTGCCTTTACCCAGTCTGTCGATTGATGGAGTATTTCCTCACAGAGAAAGGAAACAAAACTACTGTTATCATATGTAAGACTCAGCTAAACAAAATCCTGCACCAGCACGTAGACGGACAGGAGGAGAACCTCTCTATTTTTTCCCCATCTCTGGTATGTGTGTGCCAGCTGCTTCTCTCACGCGTACCACACGCAATCCTACAGGCAAGCCCAAGAATTTGGCCCTACTGCCTTTTTCCTCCCAAGCTAACGTTTCCAGGAAAGAGGGGAGCGAGTGGGTGGTAAAATGAGACCGTACCTGACTGGCTGATGAAAAAGCAAACATCATCTCTGAAGACAGGGGTGTTTCTGTCCAAGAAGTCACTGGCTAGTTCAACCATAACAGGTAACTCAGTCAGTTCTTCCAGAACCTGGCGGGTCTGGTAAAAGGAGATGTCAGAAAGTTACATATTACATCATGTTTAGAAAACCAAGTGTTTGGAGTACAGAAAAAAACTTTCTACTTGCCACACACTGGAAAATATTACTATCAAAATACCATGTGAAAATTAGTGCTGGATTATATTCTAATTACTCAGTATAGCCACACTCAAGTCACACAGCTACCCCGGGGAAAACTGACCCTGCTTTTGGCATCACAAAAAGCCTGTGAGGCCAACTCCTCCCATGCATGTAGATTGTTCTTAAGTAAGTCTCACTTATTATGTAATACTACGTATATATTCTATAATACAAGGTGTCCTTCTATCATACTCTAACTTGTTGTATTACTGAAGAACTCGGAAACCAGTGCCCGTATCCAGGCCAAGCCAGAAACTTGTTTTGGCTAGTCGATGTATTACTGTTAACATTATCTTACAGAGCTAGCCAAGATGAACAAAAATTTTCTTTTCTGGTCCTTGTAAATCAGTTTACATAGCTGTGTTTTGTAGCATTTCCAAGAGAAGCTAAAGGATTTCTCTCTGAAGTTGTAGAGTACTTTTAATTGCAACATGATGGGCTGCCAAGCTACAATCTAGAAAGGCTTCATCTACAGCCATCAAGTTTTAACCAATGCTTAGGTCGGACCCTGACGAAACAAAACGATGCACAGCCAGCACTTCCGTAGGGTACAAAGCGAAACCTCTTCGCTGTGCTGGGCAAGCAGAGAGATGTCTCTAAGCCGGCGCCATCGCTGTCTGCCTAAGTAGCAAAGGAGGAAATCCTGTCTGCTCACGGCAGCCCCTACCTTGCTGCAACATCTCCATTCTGCTCTTGCATTGTCTCTTCCCCTGCCAACTGTCTTTTACGACAGAGCAGGTTTTGTTTTTTAAAGCCTTCTGTAGCAATGAAAGTCACAGGCAATGTTTTTCATAAATATTCAGGTTCTTCAGCTTTTATTTCCTACTGCTGTTGCTGGTGAATTGAAAGTCTGTTGTACGCAGCTTTCAAAAGGGTCTTCATTCATCAGCGTGCACTTGCTCACCCTTAACCTGAAATCAATCCTTAACCTGCTCAACGCATACAACACCGCGCCCGCTGTTCAATTCTAGCTACAGTTCGCAAGCAGATCAAGACTGACCACTTACCGCAACTCCAGCATGATAACTTGTCCCACAAGCAATAAGGATTAAACGACGACACCTCTGAATCTCCTTAATGTGATCCTTCAACCCACCAAGATTTACTGTAAGCAAGATTCAGAGAGAAAAATTAGGGCGGCCAGGTAGCAGAAATTCTCAAGATGCTAACACCCAGCATGCTACAATCTCCATCAACCACGTTGCAAGAAAAAACATCACAAAAATAATCTTGCCACCAGCGCACGTCATTCTGGAAGCGCTCCCTGTGAGACATGCGCATCGTCTTACACCAGCATGTCATCACCTACTTCCCCCTCTATACCGACTGTGAATAACGACGACTAGATACTGAGCTGTCAAAAACAAGGGAGGCTTAATCTCCATTACCAGTGTAGTCATCAAAGTTGACCCTTCCTCTCATGGTATTAACGACAGATTCTGGCTGTTCAAAAATTTCCTTCTGCATAAATGAGCTGAAGTTACCTATAAAAGAAAGAAACAAACAAACCAATTGAGAACACTTTAAATTACCTCCTGCTAATTTACATTTTTCCTACATATATAGGGAAAAGCTTTGACCAGAGTCACTAACAGGCCGCTTACCAGTCAGAGATTTATTAAGCTGGTATTTCCTTTTCTGCCAAAGCATCAGCTCATCACAAGAGCTAGATTCCAGTTACTAGAATGTGTCAATGAAGGGTCAGATCTGGAACAGCAAGCCTGCTAGGGATCAGCCTTGGGAAAAATGGACACCTCCAAGCAGGAGGCAAAATTCTCTGCCCCAAAATTCCCCTTACGGTGTTAGCAGCTAGAGGGAAAGTCCCATCAGATGTAAGGACAACTTTTTTCACCGTGAGGATAATAAAGCCCTGAACACGCGCTCAGACAGCCTGTGGGGTTTCTGTCCTTGCAGATGCTCCAAACTCAACTCAACAAGGCCCACTAACACTCTGAGCTACTTGGCCCTGCTTTTAGCCCAGGGATTGGACCAGATGACCTCCGGAGGTCTTTTTCAGCCTGACTTATTCCGTGACTCCAGGGAGGCCCTGTGCATCTTCACAGGTGACATCCAAAAGATTTTACCCTTCATAATTTGCTGAAGTTCCATCTGCAAGGTTTGGACAGCACGTCCAGGGTGATCGCCTGCTGTGCGTTTAATCCGGTGGATGGAAAGACGGCCATCGACCACAGCTGCTACATCATCGTCTTCAAGGAAAATCACTCTGTTGGTATGCTCAATGACAGCACTATAAAAGCATAAATCATTTGCCGTGAGACATTATTCTTCACAGAAAGATGAGGGCTACAGCCCTATTTATAATCCCATACACAACTTTGATTCAAGAAAGTTACTCATTTCAATGGAATTTCTTTTAAAATAAGACTAGTACTGTAAAGTACATTTCCACACTGCCAATATAACTGGATTTTTTCCACCTACCTCATTATTAATTTCAGTGCCTGCTTGAAGAAGAAACTATGAATTCCTGAGACAAAGCAGCATGTGCAACGATATGATCTAACCGTTAGGAGCTAGAGAGTGGAAGTCAGGAAGACAGTAATTTGCCCTAGCCCACAGGGTGCTCAACTACAGGTGCAGATTCCTTTCTTGGTTTTCCCAGTGGAAAGCCATCGTCCCTCCCTCCACCTCATTTTCCCCATCTGTAGAACTGGGCACAGCTTGGCCACCTGTTACAGTCCTCCGAGATCTGCTTAGAAGCACTCCAGGAATTAGGTACTATTGAATACCTTCCCTGCCTGCAGTTTACTTGGGGGAGGTCAATACTGGAAATGCCAGTGGGGTTTAAAATCTTTGGCCAAGTTTTAGTGTGTACTCTCTCTTAGTTGAGCAAGGCAAGCTGTAGCGAAATATATCACCTCCCTATTTTAGTAGCTTTTGTTCTGACCTTGGGCAAGTCACTGAAAAGCTCTCTAAAATCAGAACACATCAGGGTGTCCTAAGACTCTTCAAAATGCTCTGACAAGAAGAGCTGTGCAAGTCAACCACAGCAGTAGTTTTTTTTACATTTCTGGAACAAGCATTCATTTTCCTAATAAAGAGAAAACCAATAGCTCTGGTAAGGCTGCTGTCAAGTTAGTCTTTCCTCCCTCCCCTGGGATTAAAATGAGCTACCTTTGACGATCAGGGAATTGCACGTGTGCAGAGATCCCTGGAGAATCAACACAACTATCCTGATAATTAGCATCTGTCCTGTTATTTTCGGTCAGTACTCTCTCAGGTTTCCCATCGCTCACCTTGGAAATCTTATCAACCGATGCGCTTGAAGGAGGCTAACAGCACTATTCCAAAGCCAGTGTTCATTTCTTTAACAGAAACTCTCATCTAATCCACCCGTCTCTTTCCGAGCCGCATATGGTAAGTGGTTAATGTTTGTAAAGTAACAGCCACATATACATAATTTACTTTATTCATAAAGAAACCACAGCCTCCCCATCTCTTGTTCAAGGCCTCAGCTTTAAACAGGGTATTTTTATATACGCTAAAAGATACTGAAAAACATTACCTAGCATCAGAGGCAAAGTAGTACTCCACAGCTTTCTCCTCAACAGGGAAAAGGCAGGTGGTACTGTCGACACGAGACAGGTTGCAACCTCCCTTCTTGTCTTTACCTAGAAGACGCGAGGATTAGGTACTGCACGCACTGACAAATCCGGAGCACAGCTGCAATTTCAGTCTCGACCAGTGGTCCCAGTGCCCGGTACCAACAGGAAGCCCCATTTTCATCACTACGAGCGGTCACAGTAAATTGAACAGCGGCAATGGAGGAGGGCGGCATACCAGCACTCGTCTTACTGATGAGCCCTTTCTCAGTTTTCTTGCAAGGTTTTTATGTGCTTTTGAATTAAGTCTGCAAGTGTAATGCCAGCGCAGAGTTTTAAGTTTAGAGGAAAATACCAGTAAAAATCCAAATGGAAGTTTATGTCTGGCTCCAGTAGGAGAAGGGAATTCGAGCTGCTTTATGAGCAGTCACATTTACCAACATTTTCCCGGTTGAATCTGCCCTGTTTATCATTTTAAGTTTCTCCTGTTTCACTAACTTCCCTGAGGCTTTGAGAAATCGAACGGGATTGCTCTTCCTTTGTCCGTTATTCTCGGCACTGGGAAATTCTGTCAGAACCGCCACCTGTGCAACCCCACTGTTCCACTGAGCACTGGCAGATGTAACCCAAACCTGTTTTCTGTCTGGCTGAGCTAACACATTCAGGCACAGATCAGGAAATCCATGATTAAGTACTCGGCGTTGTTCCTGGGCCATCTGATACAACCGCTCATTCTGATCCAAAACCTGTACAGCTGGTAAACTGCTGTGAGCCCAATGCTATCGCCAGGGAAGTATCTAGGTGTACTGAGGGTCACAGGGTTAAGAGTCAACCTCTAAAAACCTTGTACTAAGCCTTTAAAAAAGCTCTGTGCTTCACCAGAGGTCCTTTCTGAAGCACTCTGGCAATTCCCAATACTCTCTAATCCTCCGCCTCCTCTTCAACTGCAGAAAATACTCCTCCGTGGCAAAGCTCATCAGGAATGCAGATGAGGACCGAAACACCTACTGCTCAGCACTGACCTCAAACAAAATTATTTACCAGTCATTGTGCACCGTATGTTAAGGGGTGGGGGTGGGTTAAGTCAGCTTATCTACCAAAACGTGACCATTGCTGAATAACAACAACATGGAAGTTACCCTATTCTGTATTTATTCCATAAGCTCTAATGTTGTATTTCACCTGCTGGATACCGATCTGATTCAGCCATGTAAGTAGAGCTCATGATGTTTACATTCATAATTCTGCAAATGAAAATGTAAAGAAAAAGTACCGCTTTCGTGTTGATACTCAGTAAGAAGGCTCAGTAAGTAACAATTAAGAGCCCTCCACTTCAGTTAAGTCAGTAAATGAGCAAAACAACTCCTTTATTGTAGAGCTGAGACAGGACAGACCGATTTGTTGTTGGGAAAGGGCAGAGCAAAGGTGTTAGTGACCGTTCTCCCTCAGAAGCACTCATACGTGATCAAAACGTGCAAACGTCGTTTCTCAAAACGGAACATTTCCCTGCATTGACTTTGTTACGTTGCGTTGCTTTCCTGTATTACAGATTCTGCACTGAGCTGTAACGGGAATGTGTCCCTACTGTGCACATACACATGCACTACACGTATAGCTGACCAAGGCGTGACCAAAAAGTTACAGTGAGTATTGAGCCAGTTATGGTTGTTATGTTACATATGGATTTGCCCGTAGATCATCCATCTATCTATAGATAACCTGGATTTTTATCCTTTGGCTTGTACTCTCTACAGCACCTACCTCCCATTTACTAGAATTTAGAAGCAACACAGGCATAATCTTGTAATCTTTTCCCTTCTAAATCAAAGAATAGAGACGACATGGAGAATTAACACAGGTAGAGTAAAAAACGGGCTAGGGGGGGCGATTTTTCAGAAAATTCTTAGTTCCTCTCAAAGCTGAGGGACTTTGGTTCTTAAAGCCCCTGGGAATTAAGGTTAACTTGACTTCAGAATTTTACTCTCAAGACTTTACACTGACTTGAAAGATATGTTTGGGAAAAAGAAACAAAACCTCGCCTAACGATTGAACTCAGGTAAGCCAGCTCCTGACAGCACACACACAGTTCATCTTTCAACAAACTGCGGTTGGCGTCTCCCCCGGCGGAAGAGCACAGATTTCACCCACTGAGCTGTCGGCGCCTGGGGCCACTGTCTGCCGAGGGGGGAATCACCGTTGTTTGCAGCAGCCAAGAATCAGATCCTTTCCTCCTACAGAAAAGCCCTCTCCTGCTTCAGATGTGAACTTAGTTCATCACATCACATGTGATGGGTTAGCCTTTTAAAAAAAATGAAGTACTTAATGTGAATTAAAAACGGTTCACCCTGATAAACAAGCAATGGGAAGTAAGTTCCAACCTCAGGTCAACCTTACTGCTTCTACCAGAAGCTGCAACTCAGATTCACACTGTGACCAGGAGGGAGGATGCAGCTCTTTGAGGACGTGAACTCCAGAAGGAATTTTGGAGAATACCTGCGTTAGGATCATTAGGATTATTAACAGCCTCCTAACATTGGGTTTCACTCTGTTGGGTTGGGTTTTTTTTTGGGGGGGAGGGTTAAGGTAATTTACTGTTTCCTTCTGTAATCAACCTGCACGAAGTCATCAATTTTGCACATATGCTGAGCATTACGTCAGAATGTTTGAAAGGGGATGGGTGGACTGATGGGTGGATTTTCCTGCGTGTCACTCGTGGTGTTTCTGATCAAAAAGGAATTCTGATTATCTCACTTGTTTCACTACACTACACAGAAAGCAATAACCAGATATTAAACAGACAATTAAAGAGACTTTGATAAGCTTTGCTAATAAAACTAGAGACTAATCATGTATTTGGTGGTATAGCATGTGGTTAAAACCTTACTTAAAAAGAAAAATTATCTTTTTTATAATGGTTTAATTTACAGATGAAAGTCTGAAAGTGTATTATGTATTCCAAAGCACGCAACTGTTTGTGAAACTCAGTGCTTGTACATTGGTCTGAGCGCGAGGGGAAGGTGGCTCCTGTGGGGAAGGGGGGGCTCGCACTTACCCGTCCGGTAGAGTATGGGGATGTGGTCGGTGGAGAGCTTGTGCTCGCTGCGCACTCCTATTAGCAGGGGGCTGCCTCGCCTGCAAGAGGACACCGCGTTACAGCCCTCAGCGCCCAAAGATTCATCCCCTTATCACCCGACCCGAAGGGACTGCTCTTCTCCAGCACAGCAACCGAACCGACCACGGACAAGCTCCTCCCAGATAAGCTGTTGGTGCTGCAAACACGGGAGCCCCCAAGACAGAGCCAAAGAATCTCTGAATGAACACAACGCACGGACATAAAGAACCTGTCTCAAGTTTAGCAGAAACTCTGCAAGAGTAACTGCAATCCCACGGACACTTGAGCCAGGAACGCGCCGACTGCGGCTCACTGTACGTATCTACAAACCGCTATCGGCACCGGAATTCAAATCCTGTGCTAGGCACATGTATGGTTAAACCAACCTGACTGATGCCGACATTTAAAAGTGGCGTAGAAAACCTGAACACCAGGCTGGCTCAGCTTCAGGTCAAACAGAGGACTTGTCCAAATGCCGCCGCAACGGCAAATGCAAAGGAAAAGATAAACCCATCTGCTTTCAGATCTTTCTCAACCAGAGTCTACAAAAAAACCAAAGCTGTTCCAGATCAGTTGCGATACAGGTGGCCACTGAGAAATTTTCAAAACATTTTGGGGAATTTTCTGTTATGATAGATGGAAAACAAGAGAAAGGAAACAAAAAACAACAGCCACCCTCACTCCAGCTTATACAGCGTGATGTGAACCACCTCTACGCCGTCTAACTTGATGGGGACAAAACCAACCCAATGTATAGGGTGCAACAGAAATGTTAGTCCCACGGCAATACTTACCTGGTACCAACCGCTTGCCCAGGATAGTGAACACTTTTGAACACAAGGGCGAAAGCACCTTCCTGGAACAAGAGAAACACAAACTCTTCAGCCCTTCGCTTGAGGCCTGGGCCACCATTTCAGGATTCCCAGTGCAGAAGCTGCACCCGTGTTTCCGTGAACCAGCACGACACCAAACAGGTGGCTTCGCAGCCGTCTTCAGAACCACCGGGAGCTCCGGGCACCTCGCTGTGGAAGGGTGTCCCTGCCCTGAGGCTGCTCATCCTCAGCCCCTGAACGAGTCTGCTGAGCTCCAACCACAGACACTGCCCTCGGACATCCCTGCCACCCGCCCAAGCGCTCCGGCAGCAGTTCAGAGGGCAGCAAGGGGACTTGGAAAGGCAAAGATCTGGTCAAAGAAGTGCCGAAACTCTGGGGTGTTTGCTGCGGAGTGGTGCCGCTGGTTGTACACGTGAACCACCGCAACCCGCCACCAAAACGCGCTCTTGGTCTGCCGCTCTTACATCTCCTGCCGGACAAGTCACTGAGAAATCGTCTCCCGAACAAGGGGCTCGGTGACGAGGCAAACAGTGCTGGATCCCGTCCCTGGGCGCCCAGGCGATGCAGGGAAGCTCCCACAAGGTGTCAGCATCTCTTACCGATGGAGTTTTCAGGGAAAACTGGAGGCACGGACTTATTTTCGCTCTGTCCCATGCTCCCACCCAACATGCCAGGGACTGGCTGCCTCAAGATGCTGTTGCGCCCCCAAAAATTTGGACATTTTTCGCAGGAGTATTGACTGATGTTAAAGACAAACGAGTGTATGTCTGAGACGAACTGCCCGAGGCAGGAAAGACAAAAGCACTCCTCAGGTGTGCCGCAGAACGTCCCGCGGCCAGCCTGGCACGGGAGGACAGCCATTATTGTGTGTGTGTCTGACTGTCCTGGGGTCGGGGGGCGTTTGTGTCCCTCTCTGTCCCCACCTCGCACCCTGCCCCACCATTACCAGTTGCTGGATGACCCTCTCCACCAGGGTGGTGAAGCTGATGTCGTCGCTGTCCCGGTTGTCATACATGTACTTGACCAGTTTGGCAATGCTCTCCGTGTCCGTCTCCGACTCGAAGTCGTAGCCCTTGCTCTCCTGCAGCGACAGCACGCGGTGGGACACGGCCCTCTGCCTTCCCTTCCACCCTGTTCCTGCCTTCTTCCCTTCTCTCATTTGCTTTTCCTTCCCTTTCCCTCCTTCCTTCTCCCTTCCTTTGTTCCAGCGTTTCCCTTTCCTTCCTTTCACCTGCCTGTCTCTTCTTTCCTGCCTTTCCTCTTCTTTTTTTTTTCCTCCTTCTCCTTTTTCCATCTTTCCAGCCTTTCCTTCTTTAAGAGAAGGCCGGACGTGGCACTTAGAGCCATGCTCTAGCTGGCACAGTGGTCTCAGGACAAAAGTTGGGCGCGATGATCCCAGAAGTCTCTTCCAACCTAATCAATTCTGGGATTCTCTCTTCTCCTCTTCCTTCCGTCACACTTTCATCCTTCTTTCCTGCCTTTCCTCTTCCTTTTTTCTTCTCCTTTCCCTCCTACATTTCCTTCCCTCCTGCATTTCTTTTCTGCCTTTTTCTTTACTGCCTTTCCTTTTTATCCTTCCTTTCCTTTTCCCTTCATCTTCCTTCAAAATTTCCTTTCATCCTTCTTTCCTTTTCCTTCTCTCCTGCAAAATTTGCTTCCTTCCCTCCTGCCTCTCCTCTTCCCCCCTCCTCCCTTTTCTCTCCTTTCCTTTTCCTTCTCTCGCACTTCCTCCTTTCCTTTTCCCTCCCTCCTGCACTTCTTTTTTCCTTCCCTTTGTCCCTCTTCCCTTCTTCTTTCCTTCTCCTCTCTCCTGACTTTCCCTTTGTTCCTTCTCTCCTGTTTTCCATCCCTGTTTCTTTCTGCCTTCCCTCCTTCCTGGCCTTCCTTTTTCCTCATTTCCTTCTCCTCTCTCCTGACTTTCCCTTTATTCCTTCTCTCCTGCTTTCCTTCCTTGTTTCTTTCTGCCTTCCCTTTTTCCTGGCCTTCCTTTTTCCTCACCCATCCTTCTTTCCTGCCTTTCCTCCTCCTTTTCCTGCATTTCCTCTCCTTTCCTTTCTTCCTTCTTCCCTGCCTTTTCCTTTATCTTCTTTTCTCCTTCCTCCCATTTCCTTTCCATTCCTTTTCCTTCCCTCTCTTTTCTCGCCTCCCATTTCCTTCCTTCTTCCCTGCCTTTCTCCTCTCCCTTCCCTTCCATCCCTCCTTCGTGCCTTTCCCTTCCACCTCTCTCCTCCATCTGGATGTACCTCCTTCCTCTCCCTCCTCCTCCCCACCCCGTCAGGGGGAGCGGTGGGAAGAGCGAGCCAGCGTGTGATGGTGCAGGAGGCGGCGGGGGGGAGCGTGCCTGGGAGCGGGACTGCGAGTGGGGGCTGAGCGTGCGCACGGAGCGCGAGGAGCCGGAGTGCAACGGAGTGCAAGAACGTGCAAGTGGAAAAGTGCCCACTGCGAGAACAAGAGTGAGCGCGTGGGGAGTGAGAGCGGGGAGTGAGAGCGGGGAGTGAGCGCGGGGAGTGAGCGCGGGGAGTGAGCGTGTGAGCCGGGGTGCGCCAGTGACCACGAATGGGGGAAGGAGTGTGAGTCGGGGGTGAGCATGAGTGGAAGAGCGAGTGTGAGTGGGGAAGCACGAGTGCAAGAATGAGTGGGGACGCATCAATGGAGGAGTGAGTGGGGGACAAGTGAGTGCGAGTGGGAGGGAGCAGGAGTGGGAGAGGGAGGGGGTGAGTGGAGGAGGGGAAGTGGGAGAGGGAGGGTGTGAGTGGAGGAGTGCACGGGCGAGTGAAGGGTGTCAGAGTGCGAGTAGGGGGAGTGTGGAGGAGTGGGAATGGGGGGTGGGTGTGAGTGGGAAAGCGTGGGGGGTGAGAGTAAAGGCGGGAGCGTGAGAATGAGTGGGGGAGCGAGGAGGAGAGTG